GTGATGCAGTCGGCAGCTTCAGTGCTCTTCTCTTCTCAAGCAAATCCTTGGCAGCTTGAAATTCGTTCCAATTTTCTTCTCTGAGATTCAGGCACTTTCACTACAGGCTGTCAGTCCTCTGACAAACAGGTCGTAGTTCTTCTTTGGGTCTTCCTCGATGGGCCAGTCATTGGGGGTCAGGGGGCCTTCCAGTCTGACGCCGTCATATACGACTTTTCTCCTTCCTCCGACACAGTAAAAGATCTTCTTTTCCAGCTTTCAGTTATATCGTACTTTTGCTCGACGAGGGCGGTGATCTGAACCACTGTTGAAAGATGGTACTACTATGACGTCAAATAAGAGCGCCTTCGCTTGGTGAGAATGGTTGATTTTCTGCATGAGTCGTGCCTTTGGGTAACTCCCATGTCCACCGCTGATGTTTTTTCCATGGAAATGGATTGCATGAAAAAGTCGTGCAGCGAATAAGAGACCAACAACCGGAGTCCTGATACAAAAATCCCGATCCTTTGCTACCCTTCTGGCATTCCGATTTTCACCGTCACCTACGGCAAATTTGTAGAAGGATTCCTCATTGCGGATGACTCCTCCAAATCCTCGTACAAGCATCTTATTCCGAGTCATTAACCGTTGGCGTTGGAGATTGCCAGTTGTTGATAGTGATGGTTTTCTCATGCAGCGGAAGGGAAGGATACCCAGGCGAGGTGATAGGATTTCATGAACAAAATGGATAACAGATGAGCGTATGGCATCCACGTTGCCTTCAACGCTCCTTGACGGAACTTTCTCACCACGAATGATGAGTCTATCATCACTGAAGACTCCTGGACTTTGTTTCCTGAGGCGATTACGTGATAATTCATGTGCCCTGTAACTTGAGGGAGGGCGTGAAGATCGGTTGCCCTTGCGTTGTAGGTACAGAGCGTCTTTGGCGTGCCCTTTTGGTTCGAAATCCATGGCGTCCTGTGCAACCTGACAGTGGTCTTGATGACATCCGACGGCGGAGTTGTAATCCAGTGTGCAGGGTCTCTTAATCATACATGTATCACTGTATAAGCAATAAAATTTTTCTTCAAGCTTAGCAGGCTTGCTAGGGCTTCCAAGCTTACCACAGGCAATCGCTGACCTATACGGATCAGGGAACCACTAAGCGACTAAAAAAGCTAGACGGTGGTACTTCTGGCATGGCTTACTTTTAGTTGGACATCTAGGGAGCCGGAAACGCCGAATTTCTTCTCAGCGTGGGAGTCGCAAATCGACACCTAAAGCTACCCCGCGAGGCGGCACAGGCACGAATCTTGGATGCATACTAGAACGCGTTCCCCACTACTAACATCTCTATTTTAGAGCGATACAATATGATACAATATCTCCGAAACTGCGCGCACAGCGATAAATGCAAACGGTGGGACGACTTCATAAAAGAGGACCTCCTAAGAGTCTGTTAAGGCCATCTTCCCAAACAATGACATATAGATGCTGAACAGGTCAACGAAGTGTTGGGTTGTCGGGAAAAAAGTGGTTGTTTTGGCAGCACGCTGCTTGTCATTGAAAACTAGAAATCTCTTTGTACAAAACACAGTGCTTGATTTGTCCAAATTCGGATTGGTCAAATTAGAAGTGTTTTGAAAATCTATCTCTATAAGACCAAAAAGGCTCTGCTTACCCTTCAACTTAGTTCTTCTGGATTGTGAAGAACCCGAAGTTTGTAATAA